ATGCTGCCCACTCCAAGGTGCTACAGTGGGTCCACAATTCCCGGTTCTCAATCCATCCCAGAGTAAACCACACTCTTTCTTTCCTGAAGAGACATTTCTGGTGGCCAACGATCAACAGGGACACTCTGGAGTACGTTTCTGCCTGTCCCACGTGTGCTAAGAGTAAGTCCTCCCAACAGTCTCCTGCAGGGTTGCTCCAGCCCCTACCTATCCCTAGTCGTCCCTGGTCACACATCGCACTGGATTTTGTTACCGGCCTGCCCCCCTCCCAGGGCAACACCACAATCCTCACTGTAGTAGACCGGTTTTCCAAGTCGGCTCACTTCGTTGCTCTTCCAAAACTCCCGTCAGCCCTGGAGACCTCCCAATTCCTCACAGAACATGTTTTCCAGTTACATGGTATCCCTTCCGACATTGTCTCAGACCGCGGACCCCAGTTCACCTCTCGAGTTTGGAAGGAGTTTTGTCAATCCCTGGGAGCCTCAGTCAGCCTGACTTCTGGATATCACCCCCAATCAAACGGCCAAACAGAACGAACAAATCAGGACCTGGAGTCAGCTCTCCGCTGCATCACCGACCGAAACCCCTCTACTTGGAGCACTCATCTCTCCTGGGTTGAGTACTCCCACAACGCACTCACCTGCTCCGCTACTGGTCTCTCCCCCTTTGAGGCTTCATTAGGGTACCAGCCGCCCCTGTTCCCCGAAGAGGAGCGAGACTTAGCAGTTCCCTCTGTCCAGCAGCATGTGCGTCGCTGTCAGAAGATCTGGAGAGATACACGATCTGCCCTTCTCCAGACTTCTGCACGGAACCAGCGATCAGCCAACCGTCACAGAAGGGCAGCTCCTCCATACGTCCCAGGCCAGTCAGTCTGGTTGTCCTCCCGCAACATTCCTCTCATCTCTGAGTCCAAGAAGCTTTCCCCACGCTTCATTGGTCCTTTTCCCATCCTAAGGATCATTAACCCTTCCGCAGTCCGGTTGAAGCTTCCCAGAGCTCTGAGAATTCACCCCACTTTCCACGTGTCTCAGATTAAGCTGGTTCACACCAGTGAATTGAGCCCTCCGGCCTTACCCCCTCCTCCCGCCCGTATTATCGACAATCACCCTGCTTATACGGTGCACCGTCTTTTGGACGTCAGACGTCGGGGCAGGGGAATTCCAGTATCTGGTGGACTGGGAGGGTTATGGCCTCGAGGAGCGATGCTGGGTTCCTCGTTCCCGTGTCCTGGACCCAATCATGGTGCGGGCCTTTCACAGGGCTCATCCAAACAAGCCTGGTGGTCGCCAGGTGGCTCCCATTGAGGGGGGGGGGGGGGGGTACTGTGAGGAATTGCGGTATCTCCTTCTCCTTTTTTCTGTTTGTTTGTCTATCTGTTTGTCTGTCTTCCTGGCTGGGCGTGGTTGACCTACTTTCCGTTTTCCACCAACTTACCTCCGCTCCTGTTTCTCATCATCACTGATTACCACCACTCACCTGCTGCTGCTTAAAACTCCGGTTCGATCATCAGACTTCGCCAGTTCTTCGTATACTCACAGTGGTAAACTCCAGTTCCGGCTGACTAGATTTTCTAGTTCTTTTTGTATACTCTTCCTGTTGGATTTTTTCGTATGCTAATCCTGTTCTGTTTTTTTGCCTGTTCCAGAAACTCCACATTCCATTTCGTCCTGCCTGCCACGTCCAGCCCAACCTCCGTCTCAGCCCTGCTCCACGTTCTCCCCACTCTGTTCAGAGTTTGCTTTGTCCCCTGCCTGGTTTTTGTGGACTTATTAAATCCAGTCTTTTTGACACTTCACCTAAGTCTCCGTCCCAGTGTTCTTGCATAGCGGGTTCAAGTTTTGTGTCTCTTTACGAGGAGTTTAACACAGGCTGTGTTTTGGTGACTGCCTATTTTTGTTAGCCTCATTCCTTTTATCCCACTTTCGAAGTGAGGTTTTTTTTAGTTTATTTTGTTGTTAGTTATTTTGTTTATACTAACTTGTTAAAACTCTTATTTAAAGAGTCTCCCTTAGTTCCTTTTGTTGTTCGTTTAAACTGGTGCCTTTGTGGCCTTTCGTTTTGATTGTGGCTGTTTGTTGCCAATTTTATTGTGCTCAGTCATTAAACAACTTCCACTTCCAATTCCAACTGGTTATATGTTACTTTCCACGAGCCGGGACGTAACAACGTGCGACCGCAAAATAGTGGCAACGGTGATATACATTTCGGTGTGAGTATAAAAATGTGTGTAATTGTTCACGGTTGGCCATGAGCATTGGGAATACACATATTCTAAAATCAAGAACAAATGCTGTTGATTTTCTTAAAGAGATCCTATTATTCTTTTTGGGGTTTTCCCTTTCCTGTCTATAGGTTTTTGTATTTAAAGGCTAATATCCCTTTGTTTCTCTCCAAACACTCCCTCCCTGCCTGAAACGCCTTCATGGGACTCTTTCGTTTACACCTGTGACATATTGACATCACTATGTAACATGTGTGCTTCTATTGGCTAGAACTGCTCCCCAATGTACGTGATAGGCTAAGGGTCGGGACATTCCAGACACCTCTCAAAGCGGTTGACCAATCGCAACAGAGCAGGCCAGCTAACCAATCAGAGCAGACTGAGCTCTGGTTTCAGACAGAGGGTGAACAGAGGTGCTGCAGCACAGGCAGTATGAGAAAAATAAAGAGCTTTTTGTTCATTAAAGCATGGAGACATGTCACTGTAGAGATACTACACACTGATAGGAACGTGAAATGAGCTTTATACATGTGCTACTGTATGTCCTCTTTAAAGTTTACTTTTACATTTGGTATTGTAAATATCTTCTTCTGCTCAGTAGAAGTTGAACGCAGTCTAATAAATCTATACTTTGAACAAGATGAAGTGATATAATGGCTAGATGTTTGATAACTTATAGAGAGATGTTTGTGTGTGTGTTTTATCTGATCCGGATGGTTACTAATTCCTTTTCTTTATGGCGGTCATTTTTGAGCGGGAACACCATGGCTGTTACAAAGTTGACTAAATCATCCAAAATTCAATGAAAGTGGTGATCAGCAATTGTATATGTTCAAATGTCTAATGTGAAGGATATCATAAAGCCTTAATGCAATCGAATGTAAAACAAAAAAGTTATGATTGATGAAAGTAGTACATCGGTCAGATTTGACCCGAAGACAACAGGAGGGTTAAAGGCATTTTAATACAAAACAAATTGAAATGATACATTTAAGTAGGATTTTCAATGCAAGATTGTAGTTAATTGTGGTGAAGTTTTTCATTAGACTATGAATGACTTTTCCCCACTGCATTTCATTTATGTCCTGCTTGATTAATGGCTTGTGGAAGGACCTGGGTCCCATTCCTGTTAAGTCATGAAGATTTAGATAGAGAGAGTACATTTCTTACGTCTGCTTTTCTGTCTGATTATTGCTGATCTCAGAGCACCTTTTCAACACACTCGGCAGAACGGAGCACAGAGTGGGCAGATGAGGATGAGGAAAGCAACAATACAGGAGGAAAAAAGTGCTGATCTCTCTATCTCTGTCTCCCCCTTCCTTTTCTCCCTCCCTCTCATGCTGACTGTTTCTGTACAGAAAACTCACTCCCACGCTATTCTGCCTGGCCTATTTATCACATTGATCAGTTTATAAAGAAGTCGGGTGTACACAGGAGGCTCCCTAGAAATGCGCCTACGAGAAAGAATCGTGATTTATTTGCTCCTTCTGAAAGATACGCTCATGCTACTCACAGGTGTAGTTTCGTTGACATGGTCATGTTACCCACTTGGCCTTGTGACATCTAATCGCCTTGGATTACAACCCAATTCCTGATGTTCCTGTGTGAGCTATTCAGAGATCATACAATATGGGCAATTGACTGTATATCCTGTCAGTGGAATAAAACTGCTTAAAACTCAGCGGAAAAAATTAGAGGATTAATGTCATTTTATGATTCATATTTTAGTTGATTTTATGAAGCTAAATTGCAAAACTGATACGATTTTGAACGTCAATCACTGCTTTTCTTCAGCACCTGTGATAGTAAACTGAATATTGGTGCAGTGATGATGTTTTTTCAGACCGATTCGGAAGTTGGCATCGCAAGGGCTCCCTTCAATGGGATTTTTCCATTGGATTTTAGAATATTGCAGAAAATAAAACTGCAACAGTGCATGGCCTTTACCCTTTGGACTGCAGCGTGTTGATTTCAGACAATGGATCTGCAGCACAAACACGTTGCTTCTTATTGCTACAATCACCAGTCCTGTAAGAACGTGCTGGTCCTAAGCATACTGACCTCAGGAGTCTGTAACGATGTTTCATGATGTCACTACTCTAGCCTTCACGTAGGAATTTCATATGGTCATGTGATTGTCCTATCTAACATACCTTTGCTGTTTAATGTGGAGATCAAAAGGCTGCAGCGATGACTGTAAAGATGCATTGGTTAACTGACTAAAAAGTCTAAAATAAAAGAATGCATTCATTAGACTATACGCCATTGTGTGCAACAACACTTATGTGTAGTCTGTTCCTGGCTAATATTATACTGGATGCTACTTCTTAGTTAGTCCATCCTTTTCCGAAACACAAATCTGTATCTATGCAGTATATCATTTACAGTAACCTACCTGCTACCACACTTCCTTCCATTTTACTAAATGTTACAATCTTACTTTAATGTGTACTTCTGTAAATTGTAATATTTAAAATATTAAAATAGAGACGGGAAAAAAAATAGAAAACTATCTAAACGTTGCTCTTAAAATGTAAACTCTCCCTCTGTTGGACGAATAAAGGAATTATGATTCTGTTTAAAAATGCATGTGAAATATCCTATTACCTATATGGTGATGTAAAGCAACATCAACACTCCTGGTTGCCTGCAATGTGTGTTTGTGTGCACTTTAAACACTGTGTTTAATCGAGTTTCTGGTGTTTTTTTGCATTTTTTTGCCTGAAAAACACGAAATAAAGCATTTTCTCGAAGAGATAACAATGCCAGGATCACCTACCGCACAGCAGCTGCATCCAGGCGCAGGTCTTGTAAACAGTGCAGGTGTTGCAGAAGAAGAAGAGCATCATGCAGGCGATGCAGCTGAGGGTCAGCACCATGGACAGCAACACGAACACCGAGGCCGCCTTGAAGGCTCCGGACGGGATGGAGCTGAAGTCGGAGAAGCTGCCCACGCAGGCGAACTCCCGGTTGGGCGACGGCCCGGTGCCCACGCAGTGGTGGAAGAGACCGAAGTAGCCGGCCTGCGGCGTGTTGACGCTGTCTCCGATCCAGTAGGGCTGGATGAACACCACCACGTTGACGATGGCGAAGCAGATGGTGAAGATGGCCCACAGCACCCCGATGGCTCGGGAGTTGCGCATGTAATTGTCATGGTAGATCTTGGAGGCTTCTTGGGAAGGCAACATGTTTGGGTTTTGTATCTCTCTTTCCACCCCCTCATAGAAGAAAACAACTCTATATCAAATGTGCTTAGATTTCCCCCACTTTGGCTATTGTTAAAGGCTATTAAGTGGGCCTACATAACCACACGGTAGAAAAATGTAACCTGCAAATGTGTGTGTGATATCACAAGGCTGAACATGGTAAAACTGAATGAGGGGGAAATGCTACATCGGAGCAGTAGAAAAAAATCATAGCCATACCTACACCACTATAATGAATAATTTACCAAGACCAGTGATTCAACATTGCTGTCTAAGGCTCGCTTTTTTGGGGCTACACCATGAAGATTGAAAAAAATCCATATAAACAGGATTTCCCCCCTGTAATTTCACAGTGGAGGTGGGTTAAAGCTGGGTTTCATCCTCATCCATCAGTGCGGAGCTTCCTTCGGGATGTCCTTTTATTACCGATCCGTGAGAGGGGTACGTGCGTCTCGGTGCCGTTCTAGCGCCAGCGGTGGAGCCCGTTTTTACCTTCCGAGGCATCCGTGGGGGGGGGGTGCTCACCCTTTTCCCCTCCGGTAACCTTTAGTGTCCACGCGAAAAATGAAAAAAAAGAAATAAAACCGGTTTCAACACGAGCCCTCTGTCAAATCTCAACAGTCCTTTCTCGCAAATCCGACATCCTCCACCGCCTCGACTCCATTATCATCATGTTTTTGTCGTAGCCTTTATCCAGTATGTCTCCTCTCCCTCTCTCCCCCCTCTGTCTCTTTCTCCGTCCTCCTCCTCCCGTTTCTCTGCGCGCACCCCCCGGAAGATGTTGATGTTGTACTGATGACAGCGATGGAGCGCGTTCTCGTATACGCGGGCGCAGCACCATGAGTACAGGGGGGAATTTGTATTAAAAAGCGCGTTCCCTTGCCTGTTCACCTTCAATTTGAACGTTTGGATGATCAATAAGTGTTTCCTAAGAAGAGGTGGCATTACAAATCATGGAGCCATATGTAGGAAGACCTTTTTGAATCTACAAGTCTTGTTAGTTTTTGTGTTGTTATTAGCAGTGGTGGAAGAAGTACTCAAATCCATTACTTAAATTAAGCAAATACTACATTGAATAAATACTCTTTCAAAATTCAAGTAAAACTACAAAAGTATTGGCAAGTATAACAAAAAAAGTAAACTTCAATTGCGTTATGGCTGATTTAAGAATACTGTATTAAACGACTGGATTATGGTTATATTAATATCGCATACTTTTCATGCTGTTACTGGATGTCTAACAGCATCCATGTCTTTGCCTCTAATTATATGTGAACGTTTGTTTATAAATTGATTTATATTCTATATTATTTCATAATATAAATCTATAAAGTAATTTGTAACACTGTGAGATAAATGTATTGGAGTAAAAAGTATGGTTCCAAAAGGTAGTAGTAGTATAAAGTACATTTGAAATAGTCAGGAAAAGTGCAAGTACCTCAACATTGTACTTAAGTTCAGTACTCGAGTAAATGGACTTTATTATAGTCCACCACTGGTTATAAGGTGCAATGATGCTAATACTGTACTTTGACTACACTTTGAGTGACTCTATTAGGCTTCGGTAATAACGGATTACATGAACCGGGATTACAAAATCAAGATGCAGAACATCTATAACTGTATTCCCTTACAGTTAAAAAAAATACATCATCAGATTCCTGTTATTTCTCTAAAACGTGGGGATTACAAGCAGGGTTATAATATTACAACAAATATAAAAGGAGTTTATAGTGTTTGTTGTAAAAGGACGCCTACTGCCTGCATCTGCTTTATGGTTTTCACTTTCTGTATTCAGCAGGTGAACCTATGTGTTCATCAAATAGTGTGTGTGAGCTTAACTGTGTGTGTTAAACTAAAACGGAGCATTTTCTGTCAGCTCAGATTCTATTTCTGCTGTTTTAAACTGTAGTCTGTGCTCATGTGTTTCAGTGTTGGTGTATAGGCTACTGCCTGAATGAGCTTCATGACAGGCAGACTAAATATCTTAGTTTCTTATTTTCTAAGGTCATATTATTCTGGTGTTCTACATAACACACTTAAAACATCTCTTGGATTTGTCTTTTCTCTCTTTTTTATTTGCATTGCTTTTGATATTGAAGCAATGGAAAAGTAAATTGAAATATTGTGAAAACGTTGAAGCTTTTCCTTTTTAATCCATCACGTCAGTCTATATGTACTTTTGAATTGGTGTTCCACATTATAAACATCCCCCTTATTAGATCCTTGTATCGGTGAACATTATTCACAAAGTTATTTAAAGAGCTCTTTAGGTGAAAAACTATAAGCAGCAGGGAGGAGGACCTTTGAGAGGCTTGAGAGTTTCTTAAGCATAGGAGAAAATGGCAGACGAACAAAGAGGCAGGAGAACAATCCCATACCTTTCAATGAGCAGGGTTGTCTGGGAGACTTCAACACTGCGTTTACTTTTTTAGTTAATTCTTTGAGAAAGTGAAGTGTTTTACATAGATGGTGCAAGCTCAGAACTACTTGTTACTACTTAGTTTAGGGAACACAAGTACTTGGTAACATCATGAGGAAACATCATGGTTAAGTATTATTACACATTGACTCACTGTTCCACAGAAATAAACAGTGTGTTGCCCAGGGGCGTCGCCTGGGGTAGAAAGCCCCGGATGTTTTTTCTTTAGCCCCGGACAAATTCTCCCTCAATAATATAATACATTAACCTACTTTACCTATAGGACGGACGGCAGAATTGTAATTTCCCATGTTCAGTGAATGCAACACAGAGGCACGACGACGCCACCAGACCAATCAGAGAGTTGCATGGAAATAAACGTGTTTTATTGGCTGACAGGTACGTACCTCCTCTATGACAATGTTTCAACTTTAAATTGTCAGCCCTGGACGCGGAGATTCTGAAGATGGACATTAGACATTTCTTTAATAAAAAAGACGGCAATTCTCAAGTGGTGGCTCACACAACAACCCCAGAGCCACCACCTGAGCCAGGTGAACAAGGTATGTACCTGTCAGTAAACTTACAAGTTATGCGAACATGTAAGCAAAGCATACATTATAGCTACGTTGACGTTACTTTGAATCGCGCGGGTAAGCTAAACCGTTAGCAAGTAGCTATAGCTAGCCAGATATATTAAATAAACACTTTGTCATACAATCTAAATGTTGTGTTTTTTAGCGTTACTTGGTGATTTCAAAGAAAGCTCTCTGGGAAATGTTGACTTACTGTCTGTGTTCGACATGAAGCTAGAAGCTGCCTTACAGCAGTACACAGTTGATCCTGATTCCTGAGTCCTGTCAGTTAAAGTGTTTCATAGTTAGCTTAGCTAAGCATCAACCTAGCACTGAAATATATGGATATTATGTGACAGTATTTCTGAGAAAAAGTCAGCTGAAATGGTGGCATAGTTGCCACTGCTTTACGTGTCGACAGCATGTTTGAACGTATTTGCAGCAGTAAATGTGGCTGTCTGGCCACTGACGTTGCCATAACAACACCTGCATTTAAATGTGCAACCTCTTTTGTGACAGATTTTTGCAAGAAATTATAATTCTTCTGATTGATATTTCCTATTGACAGCTAGTTTCTATGTGAACATTATGAGATGGACAGCCAGCTAACAAGCTTTGTATACAAATATTTCAGATCAAAGCCAATCCAGTGGGGCTCCTGAAAGGGGGAAGGGACACTATGCTCCCAAATATTAAGCCTTGACCCGCATCTTAAAATTGATATGATCCAAAAATATCTGCATTGTCGGAGGCCTTTTTTCCTCATTATCATGTCAAATTGTACAGCTTTCCTTAGTGTTGAAAGCAGAAAGATGACTATATTAGAGTATTAAGTGAAAATGACTATATTAAAGTTTTAAGTAAATATATTAAGTGAATTACTCAAACTGCATTTGTATAGGAATGATTATGTCCTATTGGCAGATAACTACTCTAACAGTGATATCTACAAGAGATGTAAATGTAACTATTTTCAATTGGTTAGTATTACATTTTGTGACAGTGTGGTGACACTCATTTTAATGAAGACAAATGTGTGTATCTTGAAATTCATGTATTTGACAGAGCTGGAAACTGATGCATACTTGTTTGTGTTTACCTACACAGTCATCACAGATGAGCCAAACAGAGTAGAGGATGAAGAAAGGAGAACAGGAGAAAGGGACACACAAGAAGGAGATACAACAGACAAGAACAACAATGGAGACAACAATGAACAGGAACACCAGAACACACAAGAGTCAATGAGTAACATGACTGATTTAGGGACTGCAGATACAGGGCCAAGGCAAGTGAGACATCACTGCTTTCCATCCAGCATGTTTAGCCAGCAAAAGAGATCATTTCAACCGCAAACAGCAATTGATGAGGGATTATTATTTCCTCCTTCCATCCCTTTTTTCTGTTTAATCTGATTACTAACAACTTCTAATAATTTGACATAGTTTATGATTTAATTGGAAAATGAAGTGTTTTTAAATAATAAACCCGTTTCTGATTCTGATTCTTTGATTTATTTTTGACATCTGGGTGTTGAGAGATGTATCCATATCTCTTAATGTTGCTCTCAAAGTGCACAAGATTGATGCTTTTAACTTCAATATTTAAAAAAAATCTTCCTGGGGGACCCCAGAGGAGGTGAGTTCCCCCCAAAATAGCACTTTATCTCTGCTTATGTAACTCCGGTGTAGTGTCCCCTCGGCAACAGATCACTCAGAGCTGATTACTTTCCTGCATTTCAATGGACAGCATATAAAAAGGACACGTGAGCTGCATTGCTTAAGAGATCCTCTCATGCTATCTCTTTTACAAAATAAGTGTCCAGTCAACAACAAAACATCAGTGATCGTATAGTGGTAGTATATTTTTAACAAGCAATGTGAAACATTAAACTTATACAAACTGGTGTACAAAACTCACAGACCTGCGTTGATCTCCTGGAGTGTCTCTACTCTTTCTTCTCCACATCTCTTGTCCACCATCAGAGATTGCAAACATTTCAGAAACAGCTAGAGATAGGGGACAAACAACTTGTTCGCTGGCCATGTCAAAAACCTCCCTGCTTTGATCAAGACTTTAGGGAGCCTTTCAGCCCCTCTAGCAAAGGGACTGGAAAGCAAGCTTTGAAAATTCAGTACCATCTACATGCTGTCATGTTCCAGACACTGCTCTCAACCACTCAGGGCCTGCACAAATACCTGCAGAAAGAAACACTTGACTTGGTGCAGGCAGTAGATTACAAAACAGCAGTTGAGAACACACTGAAAAGTTACCAAAGTAACGAGAAAGCACATGAGGTCTATGACAAGACCAAGGCCCTGTGCAATGATCTTGATATTCCCGAAACTGTGACACAGAGGAAGAAGCGTAGAAACATGGAAGACTTTGTAGTCAAGGCATCATGTGGAGCAATGTGAAACATTACACATAAATAAACTGGTGTACAAAACTCGCATACCTGCATTTCAATGGACAGCATCAAAGGACTCGTGAGCTGGGTTCTGGTGCTCAGATTAGCTATTGATGATCACGTTGATAAATCATATAAAACAAATAGCCAATCACACAAAAAACATGTTGCTGTGACTGTGAGCATTAAACAATTAACATTAAACTAAACAAACACAACAGTACGTTATTGTCCTTATAAAATAAAAACATACATTTTGTCCCCCGAGATAATACAGGCACCTTACCCTCAAGAGATCCTCACGTGCTATGAGAATCTCCCACAATCCATTGCCGTAACAAAGCTAATGCAGGCACACGTTTGTGAC